AATTAAAATGGAACTATTAAGTTTATTTAAATGTTATGATAACCGTCGGGGTATTTGTAGATGCCATCAGAACAGAAAGGGATTCAAACCATGATTTGAATTGCTAACAGTTAAACATCAAGATATCCATATTATAGTACAGGTTGTGAAGTTTGGAAGCTTTAGAATGTGTAATTCTTTCTCAATTCTCTGCAATTCCCTATTTAAATACTTTACTTGAGGAAACGCTGCATCATCCGCGAAAGACAAAGCTACTGATGAGTTAAAGAGAACTGGAGAAGCATTCGGTGAAAAATCTTGCTGTGTACTTAATTAAGTATGCTTAGAATGCCTAGAGTAGTACTATTAGAGTACATAGGTGTGCACTAATCGCTAACTACTACCTAGATTCAGCTCAGATTTGTTGGTTTGTTGCAATTGCTAGGCTTGTAGATTCAGATGATTTAACAATGCTGTATCAACGCAAAAATCAAACTTTCTTTTTGAGGAAAGGCGGCATCCTCTGCGAGAGATCATGCTGAACATGGAATGAAGAAAGCTGGAGAAACAATTGGTAAATTAAAGTTTTATCATACATCTATCATATTATGCAACAAAAGCTTTGCAGTTACCACAATGCACAGGAATGTCTAGCTTGCTTTAAAACATTTTTTAAAATTAGGGAATATCTAAAAAATGCTTCTTCCCTGCAGGGAAAAATGTAGATTATGCTTGAAGGTTTTATTCGTTTTTTTCTGGTGTGTTGGGTAACAATTCGATATGGGAAAGTAATCAAAAAACAATTTAGTCCCTGCCACGAGTATCCTGTCATAGGTAGAATTATCTAGAAAAAGTTTTGCCTAAGATCCTTAGAACACAGCAAGATTGTTTTAATATGACTTCAGAGGGTTTAATTTTTCGTCATTACATGCCATATGATACTCACAGACAAAATAACTGTACCTCTGAGGAGCTTTGAGACTTAACAGATTACCACGGTCGTTGGTCCTTATGTTTATGTAATATATTCTGATTGGTCTTATGAAATAAGAAGTACTAAATTAACCCTCTTTCCATAATTACATTCCCGTTTTGCTGAGCACCTCACTTAAGACAGACATTTTGTGCTAAAAATAATGGGAATGATCTGAACATTTCTGCTCGAAGCTATGACATTAAACGAGACAACAGTGTGATAGCTCGACTGTTCCATAAATAGTAGTTTCAAACTAATGTGAGCTATTTCATTGATTTATTTCAAAAATTGAGCTTATTAGCAACATACATAGTAGGTTGTTCACGCTAATTGCAACAAGAACACCTATCATAACCACAATAGTCGTTTTGGAAATTTCAATTTGAAAGTATAAAAAAATACAAATAGATAAATAATTGGAAAGTATTAATAAATCAAATATAAATAATTGAATTGGTTGATTCAATACTCGGGAGACACATTTTCTTCATTATTCAAATACTCCGATTCAAAACGCATTCATTCGATTATTCGAATTTTCGAATATTCAAAACTTTGATTTGAATGTTGAGCAATTTTAAGACAGCTTGATTTAAGTAATTTCGTTCGTTTATGCGAACCAATATATCGGATTTTCGTTTGGAAAAAGAATGCTAGAATATTTTATTCGAACATAATTTTCGCTAATATCGGTCAAAATAACTACATGTAGAGAGGTGATTTGCACATATGGTTTGCGAGTTTATAACTCGCATTTCGAAACGCAATTGGTAGCAGTTGGTACATAGTAAATCTTTTCTTACCTTTGTAGTGCTTGAGGATTACAAAACTCTATCGCTAAAAACAGCTATCAATTTCAAAAATTAGCGCGCTTTTGTCTGTCGAAAAGTTCTGAAACAGAAATGCTTCAACCACGATATTGTATAGAAATAGCATTTGCAACACCTCAATGCATTCGCCACCTTGCGCCAGGAGAGCTGGAGAGCTGTTGATGGATTGAACTTTTTGAGGGTGTGCAGAGATACTTGCTGCACCGGGTCTAAAACATCGTATATTATATAAGTCCCACATCTTTGCTTGAGGAACTCCATTTTCTGTATCTCGACTGATTTTGGTGATTGAGATATTTGTTACACATATCGTTTATATGGAAAATTACATTCTAGAAGATGCTGCCAGTTCAGGAAGGGATAGCATAGTCCATGGAGCGCACACTGCTGGGAAAGATATTGGTAAGACTAGCTGTACATTTAGAGCATGCAAAATCGAATAAAACAATAATTATGTGATGTTGTCATTCAATTTTTTAGATGACGCAGCCAAGTCAGGAGCAGATCATGTAAGTCATGGTCTTCAAAAAACAGGAGAAGCCATAAGTGAGTGTGCTCACGTTGTCTACAACTAGTTCACAGTTTTCCTTCAAAATTATTTAGCTTTGAAATAGAAAAATTACAGTAAATCGTTTATTATTTTTGAAAGCTT